TATTATTTCACACACGCAAAAAACGCACATTCTTGAAAACAACTCTATTCACCCCCCCTCTAGAGTTGCACATTTGTCTAACAATTGGTATCGGAGCAGGAAGTTCTTCGAATACGTTATTTTTCAGGAACTAAAAGATCAAATGGCATCAAGAATGTTCAACGCGGGAGTGAACGAGGGACAATCAACCACGAGGCCACCGTTGTTCGATGGAACCAACTACTCGTATTGGAAGGAGAGGATGAGAATCTTTATCCAATCCAACGACTACAAGCTGTGGTTGATTGTGAAGAACGGCTGCGGAGTCCCGATGAAGAAAGTCGGTGAAGTCAATGTTCCCAAAACTGAAGAGGAGTTCACCGACGAAGATTGCAAAAAGATGGAGCTCAACACCAAGGCAATAAACATGATTTATTGCGGTGTTAACACGGATGACTACCGCAAAATCTCGCGGTGTGAACCTGCAAAACAAATGTGGGAAAAATTGGAGGTCACCTACGAAGGAACCGCGCAGGTTTGGGAGGCCAAAATTGACCATCTCACTCACGAGTATGAACTCTTTTCAATGAAGGAAAATGAGAAAATTGAGGAAATGTTTGAGAGATTCTCTAACATCATCAATCCTCTCAATCTTCTCGGGAAGACATAACCGACCGAGAGCTCGTGAGAAAGGTGCTGCGAAGTCTATCCCCCAAATGGCGTTCAAAGGTGGACGCAATCGAAGAAGGTCGTGACTTCCAAACAACGACCTATGATGCTCTTCGAGGTAGTCTTATTACCTACGAAACCACCCAACTCTCAAAGGTGGTTGAAGAGAGGAACAAGAGGTCTATTGCTCTACCCGCAACAACATCGACCCACAACAACGTTGATGATGAAGATGATGACAGCGACGACACCAACCTCGGACTCTTTGTCCGAAAATTCAAGAAGATGATGCTCAAGAAGGGAGCCAAGAAGAACACTCCACCCAAATGCTATGGGTGTGGTGAAATTGGACACATGAAACCAATGTGCCCAAAGCTCAAGAACGAGAAGGACAATAGGGCACCGAAGAAGCAACGTGCCTACATTTCTTGGGAGAACGACGGCTCCAGGAGTGAAGACTCAGAAACGGAGGAAGTGGCCAACTTATGTCTCATGGCCATTGAAGATGGTGATACATCAAAAGAGGTAAGTGATCAAGAACCTTCTCCCAATGATCCTTTAACTCTTAATGATGTTGCTTGCATTGTAGAAGATTTGGTAAGAATGTTCAAAAAGGCTTCCAAAGAAAACAATGAAATAAAGCAAAAAATCCTGATTTTTGAGAATGAAATCAAAGAACTCAAAAATATAAATGATAAACTTAAACAAGAAATTATCTCTTTTGGAAAAAGGCCACAAGAACCTTCAACTACTTCTTCTTCTACATGCTCTAGTTGTAC